TTGCAAGGCAGGCCACCGAACCTCTGAGCTAAATCCCCGGCCCTATTATAACATCTTTTTAAAAAAGATGTCTCAGCAGGTCAGTGATTCTGTTGTGGTTAGATGGAGACACCCACAAAGGCCTTGTGAGAATGTAGGTAGGGCTTTTGGAAAGTGATTGGATTATGAGTTCATAGCTAAATGTGCTGTTAGGAGCTGGGTCTGGCCAGAAGAGGCTGTTGGCTGGGAATATGACCTGGAAGGGCTCCTCTCCCTCCCCAGCTTCTCCCTTCTCTCTGCTTCCTGGCCACCAGGACATGAGCAACTTTCTGCCTCTACACTGCTCCGCCGTGTGGCTCTGCCTTGGAGCCATTGACTGTGGACTGAAACTTCTGAAAATAAACCTCTTTCCTGTAAGTTGTGGGTGTGGGTATTGTGTCCCAGTGAGGAGAACGTGGCTCAGACTTAGTCATACTTGGCTGTGCCCAATTCATCACTTATACATGTACACACACCGTGGTTACAGTCTAGTCCTTCCACCCCTCCCCCATTCTGTATTTGTAAAGTTGACTTTTAAAAAATCCAAATATAGAACCTATTTCATTGTATTGATCCCAATCCAGCACAGAAGCTTACTCAAGATCCCTTGATTCACTGTGAATCTTCATCTTGTCCTTTACTAAGTTTGCTTTTGCTCCAGTCTGTGTGTCACCTAGAACTTTGATAGTTATATTTATGTTCACATAGTTATGAGAAGTAATGGGGTTGAAAGTGATAGGGTCAAAGACAGGGCTCTGTATTTCACCTCAGCTATTTGATGGCTTAATGAACATCCTGTGGCTCTATTCTTCAACCTTCAAATTCCCTACAAACTGTGCTTTCATCTAGACTGTATGTCTCCATTTTCTATTCAAGGCCCCAGGGAGACTTGTTGAATGCCGCTCTGAAATCAGAGTACTCCCTAGTCAAAGCAGTCCATGGGATCTGTTACCTAACATATTCTAAGTACAATATCTTGTGAATTCATTCTAGAATTTTGCTTAAAGTTAGGTATGTAATTCATTTAAAAATAAGCTACAGAATTTATTTTTTGTTCTTATTTAAAGATCATAATAGCTCTTGTTCAGTTTCAGTTTTCAGGATTGTCCTTCATTCTGTAAGATTTTATCAGAGATAACCGAGCGAACTTTTACATGAAATCACAGGCAGTTTTACCACCCAGACCAGACTCACTGGATACAGGGAGCTGTATTAGAGCCAAATTTTTAATGTTCTTACTTTTTTGTTTGTTTGTGTGTGTTTTTGTTTTTTTTGAGACAGGGTCTTGATATGTAGTTGAGACTGACCTGGAACTCACTATGTAGCTCAGGCTGGTCTCGAACTCACAGCGATCCTCCTGCCTCAGCCTCCCGAGTGCTGGGATTACAGGCGTGGACCACCACACCCAGCTCTTAATGTTCTTACTTAAAGCTTCAGTTTCCTCTATTGTTCTTACTTTTTTGTTTGTTTGTGTGTGTTTTTGTTTTTTTTTGAGACAGGGTCTTGATATGTAGTTGAGACTGACCTGGAACTCACTATGTAGCTCAGGCTGGTCTCGAACTCACAGTGATCCTCCTGCCTCAGCCTCCCGAGTGCTGGGATTACAGGCGTGGACCACCACACCCAGCTCTTAATGTTCTTACTTAAAGCTTTAGTTTCCTCTACTCTATGCATTTTGTCTTTTCTAATTTGAGGCCCTTTCCTCTCATTCATCTCTAAGAAGTGTTCTTAGATATCAGCTCCATTTTAGAGCTGGAAAACTGACATAAAGAGAGGTTAAATGACTGGATGGGGTCATTCAGTATGGAAGAAATTCAGGCAGTGGGGTCTCTTGATATAGTCTAGAACTCCCCCTAACACCCCTAGAACTGGTCTCCGAGCAGTAGTACGATGAGGATGAGAATGAGACTTTCTTGTATTTATCCCATGCCCAAATAAGAATACTTTAAGGATACTGTATCATTTAATTACCAATCTGTGAGGGTTGATGAGTATCCACATTTCCATTTTACATATAAGAAAACAGGTTCATAAAAATAAATAATGTTTATGAAGAACTCATATAGCAAAAATGCCAGGAACGGACTCAAACTAGTTTATCTGATCCCAATGATTATGTTTTCAACTGCTCACTAAAGTGGCATAAACTCTTCTGCATTTCAGAGGTTGTAAGTGCCCTGGGAAATAAGAACTCAACATGTGATTTTTTTCAAAATTTTTTTACCAGAAAGATCAGGTTCTTTTGAAGAGCTGCTGTTTCCTCCTTTCTGTTAACAAGATGTCACCTTTCCCCCGTTTTTGGTCCTAGCTACCAGAAAGTGGAGTGGAGATCATTTGTAGTAGGTGTATTAATTAGTCTGTGTAGTCAACCTATATTTTCTATTTCTTTTTACAGCCTTGATTTCCAACTGTAATTTAACTGCATTGTGCACATATATCTATATAAGATATTCTCATTTTATCTGACTTTGCCCTTATCAATTTGTCTATGATAGCAGCTGATTACAGCATCTTCGATCTCTCCCCTCTCCTCTTACTACACTGTCATGTTGATCTTCACAAGATGGAGTTTTGTTTACATCAATGGCCTGTCCAGCAATATCCAGGACTAGCCATTTCCTGTTAGATTAGGGTCAAAACTCAGAGCATGCACACCTGGCCTCAGACTCTTTTTCTACATTCTTTCCTAGTAGATTTTTAGATACAATTTTGACTCACTGTTTCCCAAACACCACACACACACACACACACACACACACACACACACACACACTAAAAGTTATATATATGCACATATATATATATATTGGGACCTTGCTCTTGCAAGGCAGGCAGTGGAACCACTGAGCTAAATCCCCGGCCCAACATGACTTATATTGTCAGGTCTCTGTCTTTGCTTACATTATTTCTTCTGCTTGCAATGGATTTCCCCCTAGCATCCACCAGATAAATGTTTGCCCAACCCTTAGGCCCATGTCAAATGCTACCTTCCCTTAGTAGCTTTCTATTATCCACTCTAGGAAGAAATAATTGTTTCCTCATCTTCTTGACTTTAGTATTTTACACAACTCTCCTGTAGTTCTTACATTGTTTTATAGTTATTTCTTTGCAGTTTTGTCTGTACCAATGGGCTGAAAACTTTCCTAGAACCGACTGTGAAGTATCTACAACTTAATAGTTATTCCTGTTTTTGGAACCAACCAAATAAAAATTAATAAATGTGATTTGTTTAGGATCCCCTAATGAAGTAATAGACAACTTAAGAATCGAATAGCTATCTTGCAGGTTCCAAACTCCTATTCTGGTCTTCTGTGCTGCAATTCCTGAATATGGTTCTGTCTGCCAAAGTCACCTGGTGGAGGTAATTAAAATATAAATTCCAGGTCACTAATTCTAGAATTTATAATTCTATGTGTCTCTCGTGGGGTCTCAGAATTTGTATTTTTAAACAGGTTCCCAAGGTTTGGATACCAGTAAATGTCATGCTATGCCAGACTGCCATCTCATATAAAATGACTATTTTATCTTCCATTTTTTGATTTTCATCAGAAATTAACACTTAAGCCTAAGCTGATAATTTCAAGAACTTTGAAATGTGCTGCTGATCTGTACAGATCTGTGCTATAGATCCCAATTCACCACACAGCCCAATGAGTTCCTCATAAGTTTAAGAGGAATATAAATGGTATAATATCAATGGAAATTTTTATACATATCAAGAGAGAGCTGTAGGGCCGGGGATTTGGCTCAGTGGTTCCGCTGCCTGCCTCACAAGCACAAGGGCCAGAGTTCAATCCCTGGTACCAAAAAAAAAAAAAAAAAAAAAAAAAATGAGAGAGAAAGAGAGAAATGTAGCTGATATTGATGACATGTAATCTAACACAAAGAATTTAAAGTCTGATTTGTTATTATAACTTTGACTATATAAAATACCTCCCTATTATCTAGATCCAGCCACATAATTATCTGATTACTGGATGGATTTATATTGACAGAATCTAGCCCTTTGGTGACATGTATTTGGTGTTGAAAACTGGCTTGACTTGATTAAAACAAAGTCTTGAATACTAATAAAAAATAAAGCTAGCATTGTAGGTGGAAACAAACCTAAAATACTCACATAAGAATTAGAAAAAACTACCAAGTTAAATGGTCATGTTGGCTGTGGATACATAAAATGAACTCTTCATCTCCTAGTTTATCAGGTAGCCCAGGAAGGCACAGTAAGTCCAATACTCTGGTTTTGTTGTTGTTGTTTTTGTTTTTTTTTTTTTTGTACTGGGGATTGAACTCAGGACCTTGTGCCTGCAAGGTAGGCATGGTGCCACTGCAATGCTCCAGTTTTGAAGAGCAGTGATATAAATTAAACAAGAAAACATACACTTGTGTAGTTGAAATGGCATAGGTAAAATTTTTAGGAATCAAAAATTTTACATTTTAAAATTTTAAAAATAATCTTAACGGATGGCTTAAATTAATTTTTAATTGAGAGTTTGTGATTTATACTCATTTTCTAAAATAATATAATTGAGAAAAGAATGAAGTAAATGGTGGTAAATCAACACGTTATTTTACTATCTTTTGGTTACACTTAATTCATTCAGATGCCTGATTAAACAGCAATGTCTTTATATGAATGGCACTATGTAACTTACTTTGCCACCACAGCATTTATGTGAGTCCTCACAAGTCCTAGGTATTGGTCAATCTGTGCCTGCAAAGAGAAAAGACATCCTGAGCACATCCAAAGACCACGAAGTCAAAATTTACTGTGAATGTCTGATGTTACATGGAACTTACCTGGTGCTTAACATACACTACAGGTAGAGTAAACATTGAAACCACAGCTGGGGTGAAAAAAAAATACAGTATTAAAATTCTCAGGGTTACCAAGAAGGAGCAACAAGAGTAGCACATATAACATTAAAATTCTGAGTGTTATAGACACATGGTGACACTATAACATTTATATATATGTGTGTGTGTGTTACATTATTTGGAATAAAAAGCCCTCTAGATAAAAGAAGATAGGGCAAGTCAGAAGAAAAACAACAGAATGCTGAGCCCTTTATAGATATTATGTCATTATTTCTACATCAAGTGTAGACTGAACCCTCCCAAGATGAAAATGAGTATCTATAGCTGCCACATGGATAGAGGGCATACAACCCTATAAACAGACATACATTAGAAGTTAAATCTTTTTTTTCTTTTTATTGAGTTTATTGGTATATATTAGAAGTTAAATACCACCAGTTGGAGAAAAAGAGCTCGACTTAGAAATTCATTATTAATGTGTACTATACGTTATACTCTTTAACTGAATTGTGATGGTAAGGAAAGTGCTCTTTTTTCAGGGATAGCTGGCACTCATTGCTAGGAATCTACCAGAACAAGCTAAAGGCCAATAGCTCAGACAGCAAGGCACTGCCGAAGTGTGGGAAGGAAACGTGCTCCCCGCTTTGGTCCGTCTTACCCATGAGCAGCAGGGTTAGGCCGTTGAAGAGCGCGCCCACGTAGGTCAGGAGCCACATCAGCACTGCAAACTGAGGAACAAAGGGGCCGTCAGGGGTCCTGAGACCCTTCCTGACAGAAAACAGCGACTACCACGGACTTCATCAGATCAGAATCAGAATCTCTCTAGTTAGCATTTCTACTTTTCTAATCTGAATTCCTAATGAAAATTTTTAGATTTGATTTAGGGGCAAGATAAAATAAATTTCAATGAAATGTTTTCAGTAAAAAAATGACAAAGCGTCAAATCCCATCACAGAATCCCTGACAGGAAGGTCGTTAGGTGTCTGGCACCTCTGAATCACATTGCTGGAAGATTCCAGGATGTAATAAGTTAACAATCCAGGCCAGAGGGTGGCAGACTATGGCCCTGGACCTATTTCTGTAGGGGCCCACAAATTAAGAATAGTTTGTACATGTTTAAGAGGTCAAATAAAATCAAAACAAGAAAAATATGTGTGAATATATAAAATGATATCAAATTCAATTTCAGTGTTCATTGGTACACCGTCACAGGCCTTCAGTGATGTGTTGTCTTTTGGTGCTTTTATGACCCAGTAAGGCTGGGTAGACAGCAAGGCCTGCAAAACCCCAAATATTGACCACTTGGTCCTTTACAGGTAAGGTTCCCTGACCCTGCTCTAGCCTACAATTTTTAAATCACAATATGAGCTCTACCCTAAAAGCACTAGGGTCAGTAGTCACGTCTCCCTGGAAAGTCATTCTTCCTGTGAACTTCCTCGAGGGTCCAGCCCATACCTCCCGTGTTTCCCTCTGTCCTTCCTGGTGCAGGTCCCTGCTCGGTGTGGGTGTGCACGAAGTACTGGGGGACAGAAAGTGCACACCCTCACCCAGCTGCCCCCTCTCCACTGGAGGCCTTGTTGAATCATGGCTAAGGGATGTTGCTGTACACATGAGTCACAGGGAGCCAAAGCAGCTTGTTCAGAGAAAACCCACGACCCCAGTGAGAGCACAGACAATGAAGTCTGGACGGCCCAGACCCACACCACGCAGGAGGTCAGGCCAACTGCTGCCTTCAGATGGCTCAGCCCCAGGACACTGGACAGGTCAGTATTTGCACAATCTAGAGTTTCTTCCAGTGAGGGGGTATATACGCTTTTAACATTCCCAAACTAGATTTAAAAAAAATTAATTTTAGGGAATTCCCTGAGGAATTTAAAATGGTATAAGAACAAACATCCTGGTAGGCTGTAAAAAAAAAAAAAAAAAAGTACAGAAATACTTGTAGTAGATGTGTGACCTGCATTTCACACACGCTCCATCAGCAACTACAGGACGGACCACCTTGAGTAAGCGCCTTAACCTTTCTAAACAGTTTTGAAGGGAACTGGCTGAATACCATGAACTTTTTGTGACTCCAGAATAGAATTACCACCCCTGTTGTACAGTCCGCAGTGGGGAAAACGGAACTCAAGCCTGTCAAGTGAAGGGCTTGAGCAGTCGTACTTTTAAGGAATCCACGAGGTCCTGGACGAGGAAGAGCCTCCGCAGCTCCTTCAGCGTGCTGTTCACGTAGAGCTGCAGGCAGTCCGTGTACTTCTGGATCTGCTCCTGGGACAGGGTGATCTCGAGCTCCAGGTAGGCCCTGTCAAGAGGCCCCAGAGAGTACCTCAGAGGGATGGCACCCCAGGGCAGGATGGCAGGCTGCCAGGGCCAGGGGGAACGGAGAATCACAAGCCCCCTGGGGAGGGAGACTGCGACCGGACTGGGTCCACCATGGACAGCACTGCAGGCGGGGACCGGGAGATCGGAGCTCATTTGCTGAATTCTCCATTCGCGACTGCCCGGAGATGAACTATTCTTTAAACAGCTGATCCGTCTGAAAATCTTAGCTGACAATTATTGTTACCCATCACACTCTAAGAATTCATGGAACTGTGGAATTCACTTGGGAGTTCATCTGGGGAAGTCTGAAAACTCAAGTGACCTGGACCATAATAAAATACTCACAGATTCTAGGGAGCAGTGTGCTTAGTAAATGGCATTTTTAGTATTTTTAGTAATTACTTTAGCATTTTGAGTATTCATTTGTTCAAGCGGTTAAGCTTGACTCATATGCAAATATTTTATATGAAATATATACAACACAATGTATTTTGTGTAAAATAAAAATATTTAAAAACCAACCCAGCCTCGGCTGTCTCTGCTTGGCCACACTCTACCACGAAGGCCCACTGTCCCTCTCCTTTTCTCCCTCTCCTGTTTCAATATAGAGCCACCCTGTCTGCACGGAGGGTCCTGAAAGGGCTGGCTTAACTCTGGGAATCGAGATGAACTCATTGAAGCAGCCCTTGCCTGGAGTAGAGAGGCAGAAAACGCTATGAACTCAACTCTGTGTTCCTTCCACATTCCTAAATCGAAGTCCCTCCCCGTGAGGGGTGGAGCCTTTGGGAGGTGAGGCGGTCCACGCAGCAGACCCCTTAGGGATGGAATTAGTGCGTTTTAGCAAAGGGACCCGGAAGTAAGCTCTCACCCTCTTCCTGGCTTGTGAGACCACAACCAGGAGATCATGGTCTGCAGCCTAAGGAAGCGCAGCCGGACCTCAGACTTCCGGACCTCAGATTTCTGGCAGCCTCCACTGTGAGAAATACATTTTCTGTTGCTTAAGCCATCTGGCCGCTCTTGGTGGTAGGAGTCTGAACTGACTTGAGTCAGGCTTTGCATATGAAGTTTATGACTTTTCATCCCCTTTATAAAAAGCACAAAACCAGCAATTTGTCTAAGATGGTGTGTTCTGATTAAAAATGTACCAAGTCAGATATTTTTGATGATAAAGATGACACAGCCAAAAGCAAGATTTATATTTCCAATTTAACTCCTAAAAGAAGATAAAGTAGTTGACTTATTAGTAGTTAAACATTTGTTTCCATAATTGAGTATTAGAAGAAATAAGGAAACGAGAGATAAGGCTCCCTCACCCCGGGTTACAGCCTCAGAGGCCCAGAATGCGGTAGAAATTATGTGGTAGAACATGGTAGAGCCTCCCGTGTCCCGAGCAAAGATAAGGACATGGATCCTGGGCCCTGGTGAGGGTCACTGATACAGATTTAGGGTATGACCTGGTAAAAGACAAGACGTCCCACCTCTCCGCTCTCCCTGCCTTTGTGACAGGAACTTGGGTGGCCAGACCACAGCCCATAAGTGCCATTACCTCACCTCAACCAGTTTACCCAAAGGTCAAGAAAGCACAGACTGCAACTGTGTTTGACAGTAAGATCAAGACCCCAGGCCTGGGAAGGGCACTCGGCCTCTTATGTCCAGTTTACAAAGCCCCATAATTGGGCACCGTTTTCCTCATGAAGACCCTGGTGTCACTGAAGTCTTGGCTCAGCTGACTGGTGAGGGCAGACTAGAGCCATGCCAGGTGGCCCAGACGCTGTTCTGCAGTGTGGTCTACACATCGCATTCAGGGCCCAGAGCTGTCCCTCTGTTACAGGAGGCAAGGACCCCTGCAGGGAGCCCACACTCTGGGCCAGCCAGCAGGACAGAGGGTGGTGTTAGCAGTCTGTGCTCCGAGCACCCAGGCTCTCTGTCTGGAGTCGGGAAAACCTTTGGTGGAGTTGGGTGGAGGTAGTTGGCTAGGCTAGCACTGCCCTCTGCCGTATTTCATGAATACTTTAAGTAGATTTCTCCTTTTAAAATAAGTTGCTTCCTTCCGGTATTCATCCTAATTGGATGAACTGGGTATCCCCGGAGCAAAATACAGAGAAAACACACAGGCGCATGATAACACTGTTCATGCATCTCAAGCCCCTCAGAAGCTTGGCCCTTTGGTATTAAAAGTAGGAGAGAGGGGTGTTGGGGGGGAGAATATAAAAATCCAAGCACCTTAGTCCTCAGTCTTACTGGCTGTGTGTGGGTGTGTCACTTTACCTTTGGGACTTCAGTCTTTCCACCTGTAAACAGGGACAATAATGGTGGCTCTACCTTCCTTACAGGGGCAGGAGGATTAGGCAATTGTTGGGATAGTCCTTAAATTATAAAACATTACACGTATACAATGGATTCCGATTACCATTAGTAAAAATTAGACTATAAAAATTCAGCACAGCAATAGGTGTTAGAATCAGAGCAACTAAGTTGTAGCAGGAATCTGTCAAGCAATGTTAGATGGTAAAGACAGGCCTTGGGGGACGCTAAGAGGTCTCAGGTCTCAGAGATTCACAAGCAAGCCCCCCTGAGCTGGAACAGAAGCAGGGGAGAGTGCAGGGGAGGTGGCCAGGGCCAGTCAGGCAGGGACACTCACTTGAAAGGGTGACCCTCGTCGGTTTTCTGCACAGCTTGGAGCACGGACTTGTAGATGCGGAAACTGATGGTGGCTGAGAGTGCAGCCAGGGCCAGGTAGGCCACGACGCTCACCACGCTGAACTGGGTCAGGGAGAAGAGCAGCAGCAGGAAGCTCCCAAACACGATTCCCGTCTGCTTGATGTCCCGCCAGTACAGCAGGTCGATTGCTGTGGGCAGGGACACAAACATAAACAACACTGAGCTTCGCAGTGCCGTGAGCTGCTGTGACTGTGGGCTCCCGTCTGGCACTGAGATTCGTGTGTGTGTGTGTGTGTGTGTGTGTGTGTGTGTGCGTGCGCACGCTTGCACACTTTCCTGCGGATTGGGCCCAGGGCGTCCTGAACGCTTGTCAAACGCTCTGCCGTTGAGTTGCATCCCCAGCCCCTTCCCCCTTTTAAAATATTGTTTTGAGACAGGTTTTTACTAAGTTTCCCCAGCTGGCATCAAACTTGCAATCTTTCTGCCTCATCCTCCTGAGTAACTGAGATTACAGGTGTGTGCCATCATGCCTGGTACCTTTGGGTTCTTAAATGAGAGTGGATCGATGGCTCTGCCAATGGTACTTACTGACACCTCATTTCAGTTAGGGAAAATTGTTTCCATAGCTGAGAACAGTTCACATATTCACATATTCACAGATAAAACTCCAGAAACCACGTCAGTATGGGTGTGCCTGTCTATGCGGGCTGCACCAGCTGTTCAGTGGCTCGACTTCCATGACTTTGAACAGACTTGAGCACACAGAGGACTCCCCAAAGTGTCCACTCTCTTTTGGGTAGCACTGATTATGTCCACACATCGATGTCTTGCTGACAGTTTTGTCTCAGCTGGGACCTCCAGATGTGTATACCCGTCACACAAATGCTCCTGCTGTTGTGAAGGGACAGGCACACTGAAAACAGTACCTTAAGCGGTACCTTAGGAAGTGTGGCAGAAGGTCTGCAAAACCCTGGTCATATGAATCTGGACAAAATTGTGGCCTGCCTCTAAACATACGTAGAACAGAGGGCCTGGTGGCTGTGTCAACAAACCCTGGAGAGGACATTTGTTTTAGACTGTTTTGTATGATGTCATTTGTTAGAAGCAAACAAACAAAAACAAGTTAAAGAGACTGAAGACACCGTGTTGCAAATGTAACATAAAAAAGAAAATATTTTGAACATTTCAATCACCAGTATATGAAAAAAGCATAAGACTTGCTGAAGAACCTGTGCAAACTTATCCTTTAATGAGGCAAGCAGCGAATGGCATTTCTGGAATGGTAAGTCAGTCAGTTCTCAGGAAGAGAAAATAAAGAACAGACTTCCCATCTCACAACCAGCTGTAAGACATGGTGGCTGCGCTGCTGACTTCCTGTGCACTGTACCTGGAGACAGAATTGGATTCCAGTCATTTGCTCAAAAGAAAACAAAGTCCCTGAGTGTCAGAGGAGCTGACTGTTTACGTGTCCCTCGGCCAAAATACCTGAGACAAGGAGTATTTGGTTTTCTCTTGGATTCTGGAAGAATATACATGGTGAGATATTTCAGAAATAGGACCCAAGTCAAACATAAAATTCATTTATGATTCATGCACACATTTATACATAGTCCAAGGGTAATTTTAGATGAGATTTTAAATAGTTTTATGCAAAAAACAAAGTTTTATGGAATGGAACTTTCCACTTGTGTTAAGTCAGTGCTCAAAAAGTCTTGTATTTTGTATTTTGGGTTAGGGATGCTCAACCTGTGTTGAAAAAGTCACATACTCAGTAATGATTCAGTCTAAAGAGGTGACACTGGAACACGGCAGGGTGAACTGCTAGGCCTGCCTCAGAGCCAACTTGCCTCAGGCTGGCTGGGTGAACAGAGGAGGGGCTCTTTACCATAGCCTGAGCACACCCCACACAGCCTGATCTCCACGCACTCCCTACCCACCACCACTGCCCCCCATGACATTTCAGTGGACAGCCTCCTTGTGGGCAAAGAAATGGTTCCATTTCCCCCTCAGCACTTTTCAGTGTAGCATGTAGAGGAGAGGAGAGGGACCATGGTGGATCTTGAAGTGAAACAGATCTTTTTTGTTCTTTTGTAAGCAGGGCCAGGCCTCTAAGGAGGTTCCAGAGGTCAAGGAAAAGCACTGCTCTCTAAGGCCTTTCCCTTCTCCCCATCCCAACCTCCAATCACACTGATTGGCCTTTAAAAACTCATCCCTTTGGATAACCTTCTTTTAATCCTCAAAGTAGTCCTTCCTCATCTTCACCTTGACCTTCTTTTTTTTAAATGTGAAGATGCCAGGATAGGGTAAAGCATGCACTTTGCTTTTCCTTAACAATTCAAATGAGTTCACCCATGATTTTCCTTGTAGAAGAGTTTCTTGAGAACAGAAAACTGAAATACAATTCTTTTCAGGTGGAGGAGAGGGATCTTTTGGAAGACAACCTGCAGTCACCCCACGGGAGATCAACCCTCAGAGGACAGATGTGGAGAAAGGACCTCTCCAGAAACATGGCCCTCCTGTGGATGAATGGGAGCCACCCGAAGTCCTGTCTACTTCAGCACAGATGAAGCCCTGTGGGGCTGGAGCCTCACGTGTCTACTCTGCTTCCTTCAGAAAGGGATAAAGGAAAATAAGACAAAACCAGACAAAAACATCACCCTTTAGAAGTGCACCCGAAGCATTCCTTCCCCCACATTTGTTCACTGAGGAAGTGCTCGTTGAGAAAGAACTAAGTGCCAGGTTTGTGGAGGAGAGGACACAAACATAAATGATCTATAAAACAAATAAATACATGCAAAAAACCCCAAGAACTAAATTGCAATTTCTTTTATCATGCCCACAGACGCACATAGCAGGCATATTTAGAAACAAATACATTCTAAGGCAGCATGATTCTTGCTAAAAGGAGTACTCTTAGTGCCAGGAGAGGTGGCTCCCCACCTGTGACACACAAATGGACACAAAAAACCCTACAAGTAGTATCCAGGCAGATAGAATTTGCTATTTTCAGGCAGATTCTCACTGCATGAATTTTTTTGTTTTGTTTTGGTACCAGGGATCAAACTCAGGACCTTGCGCTTGTGAGGCAGGCAGTGGCACCACTGAGCTAAATCCCCGGCCCCTGCATGAAATTTTTAATATCTGTCAGCAATGGTTGGGTGAAGTTCTTCTAGAAAGAACTTTTGATATTTCTGTCTACTTGTCACCTATCCAAAAACCCAAGAATGGTAGGCACTCCATCTGGGCCTTCCTGGAAGACTCTGTGGGCAGAGAGGTTGACCAAGTCAAGGTGCTGTAGAGGTATCTTGCAGAAGGTCTTGCAACCAGCTTGCAGAGTGTGATGGTTAATCTTGATGGTCAACTGGATTGGCATGAGTGATACCCAGGTGATTAGTAAAGGCTAATCTGAAGTGGGTATGTGTGGGTGGGTTATAGGCACATGACCCTGAGGACTATATGTAGTCCTTGGCATAGTCCCCTAGTTTCCTCTTTCATGTTATATTTTAAATCATGAAAGTTATGCAAAATTAATTTGAAGCAACGTGATTATATTTAAACCTACTTTCAGAACTAGATGTTTAATGGGAGGGTTTTTTCTTAACTGAAAAAAGTCATTATCAATAGTTATTGATCATCCATTATCCAGTAAGTGCAGGATTCAAGCAATCGTAGAATTTTGCTTCTTAAGGAATTTAAGATCTAGCCAGGATGACTGGACATTCATTTAAAGTGATGCTGATTGAAAGCTAATTTATGTATTTTGTATAGCTGGGGGTGGTAAAAATAGTTAAAGGAAAGGGCAGAACTGGAGTTAGTGAAGGAAACGGGCATGGTTTAACCGTGTGGGGAACAACTGGCTAAGGAGATAGAATGGATAACAGCAAATATTGTGACCGGTTAGTTGATAAGAATGGTGACTAATTAGCTGTGGGAGAAAGGAAGAAGAGCTAATTATTGGTGAAAGCAGCACTTCAAAGCTGGGTGATTGAGAGATCAGCCTCACTGATATAAATAGAAAATCTGAGAATGAACTGGTTTGCAGAGAAGATGACACTTGTTTTTAAGTCTCTGTATGATGACATGACCACAGGGTAACAGGGCATTTTGACACAGCCTGGGGCACAGATGAAATAGCAATCACAGATGAAATGAGGCCGATGATTACATTACAGCACTCCCGAAGTGTTTTAAAGCTTGGAAGGTAAGAGATATTTTAGGGCTGTGTCACAGTAGTCCTGAGTTAAAATGGTCCTTAATATTATAGATCTAGTGATACTTGGAAGAATTTGTACAGCAGGCAATTGGAAATACAGGACTGCAATTTGGTGTGCAGGTAGATTGTTTATATTTGGGTATATTGTGGGCAGAAATGATGGTTGCAACTATGAGCATGGAGCAAATCTCCAAGAAAGACTCGAGGGGCTAAGGGATACAATTTCGGATAAAACCACAGTTAGAGATTGACAGGAGTAAGTGGAGCTATGCAAAGAGAGCCCTGAGTGTTAAAAAGGGAAACCACAGTAGCATAGTCACAGCAGGCAGAGGGTAGGAAGTACCTTCCCCCAAAAAAGCTACTCTGTGGAGTGCTGTAGTCCTAACAAGAGAAAGGAGGACCAAGAAAGGATTACTAAATTTGGAGACCAGAAGCTCAGTCCTAATTTACAGAGTGGTGATGTTAAGAACAGTGGGAGTGGAGACCCCATTTTAAGGGTTGGGGGATGTGGTGAAAGTTCAAAGCAATAAAGAAGAGTAGTTTCTGGGAGTAGTGGCAACAAGTAAACTTTTAGTAGAAAGGGAGGTGGGGGGATTCTGGAAAGAGAAGATATTTGGTTAAGCAAAGTCATAGGGAAGGCAGAGAAAGATACGATTGGTTACAGCTCTTCCTTCTCAAAGAAGAGAGAAGAGATAGGAGAAATTTGGGGAAGACATGGGGGTGGCCACAGATATGTGTTGAAGTGGAAAGGCAGTGCCATACAATGACTTAAAGCAAACTAACTCAAATTTTCCTTGGAAAATGGATCTGAAGGTCTTGCAGGAGGAGCCCCAGATGTACGTTGAGCACTTAAAATTTGGCAATCCCGAAGGAGATGTTTTGCAAGCGGAAATTGCATACTGGTTTCAGATATAAAACAAAAAAGAATGTAAAATTTCTCATTAAGGCTATTTATATTGATTATATATTGAAAGA